GTCCTACAATAATAATTAGGGTACCCACAATGAATTATAAAATTAATTACAAAATGCCCTTCTAAGTCACTATCTAAATGTAGATAAACTATAGATCCTCAAAAGGGATATGAAGGGAAAAAAGCAGGTAATAAGTGGTAGGCATATTGGAGACATTTATATAATATATGAAAATAATTAATGTTATATCATTTTAGGAAAGTCTTAAGAGATGACTTTATAGCAACTAAACAAGAAGGTGGGTGTCTTTCGTCTTTGACAAAAATCTAGCTTCACAGTTTACAATTTAGATGGTGAGTTTTATTCTGCTTGACTATACACAAAATGACAAATATTAACTTATGAGGGATACACATACATATTTACATAACATGACCCTTCCAATCCACAAAAGCTACATTACAAAATCATACTTTATTTGTAAGCTCAGATCCTGAGGTCTAAAATGTTTTAAGTCCGAATTTTACTTACGGTAAATATTTATAATAAATTTAAATGTAAAAATATATTCTTTACCATAAAAAGAAGGAAATAATTGTTTATATGTTTATTGATGATAATAAATTTGATTTTTTTTTTTTTTTTTTTTAAATTTTTTTTAATGTATTTTGTTAGAAAAATTTATGTGATTCAAATGTTTAATTCATGAAAAATGGGGAAACTAGAAAAGAATAGAATATAAGTTGGTTCGAATTTCTTAGAAATGAGGGGAACAACGTCGATCTTTGCGAACCCTTCTTTCGACATAGAAATGTTGACAATGAAGATACGAAATGTTACCTTCACAATTGACATAAAAGGAGAAACTTAAAATAGTATGGGGATTTGAAATATATAACTCATACTGAATAGAGAAAGAAATTTACTGCTAAATTAAATATAGAGGCATTTTTTTATTTCCAATGTCGTTGTGCCAAGATAGAAGCCACATATGCCGAGATGTTGTTGGGGCCCACCACACTACACAATAGTGGCGTAGCTATGAAGCCATGGTCAATCAATTCAAACACACGGATTAAGGTTAGTTGCGATCGCAACGTCTCGTGCGACCTGTTTTAAACACCCCAAACTTCACAAAAGGGGGTTCACAAGAAACCACAAACTTGATGCTGGGATGCCTTAGAGGATTATGTTTTGAGGTGATTTCCCTAAGGACGCATTAATTGCGCGCGTTTCAAATGCAGAAGGTTTTAGGAACCCCCCTCTAATTAATATAACTCCGCTGCTAATATTTTATAGTGTGATGTTTTTGAAAAAATCAATCTAAGAATCAAAGACTGAAACAATGAAAATTTGCTAAATTGAAGATCGGACTAATGTTAAATTACAATATGAGGTTTACCTTTATCAAAAATGTGTTCAAACACAAACTTCAAAAATTAAATTCTCTATCCTATTTTGGATTAAACCCTCGATAGTGTGCCTTTTGAAATGATTTAGATAATGAGTTAGCAACTAATTAATCTTGTGGGTTTTTATTTTATTTAAAAGGTCCTTTTATGTAAATTTGAAATACCCAATAATTAACTAATAGAATTAGAATTTTTAGTCAAATTAAGCTATTTCTAATAAAGCACCGAGTGAGGGTTTGATTTTAATATAAAATAAAGCATGCTTTATAGGTGTTTCTATTTTATTTTTTAAGAGATGTGACTTACCTTTTTGGATATGCACTTGCTATTCAATATTGGAGATTTAGGGTTTTGTTATAATGATAAATAATATACTAGAAATCAAGAAGTCATTATATGAAAATCTTAATAACTTATTTTAGAAGTACGCAGGAAAGTTAATATTGTTGTTAACATTGATTTTAACAATTATATTGATTTTCTCTGTAATCCCTTAAAAATAAATTTGAGATTCTTATGTTATTAGAATAATAAATTAAAGTAGCCTTACATTGCGATGATAATAAAGACCTTTAGTCACCAAATAGATTTATTCACAACTGGAACTAACTCCCACAGAAAATTAAAAAATCTATTTCCATCGACTTATATAAGCTTACATAACCTTCTAGGACATCTTAGTTTAAAGCATTCCCATATATAATAGACTGATTTTTTAAAGTATGAGGTTGGTATGGACAAACACTAATCTTACATTTAGAATGGCCTAAATGAAACAAAAGTCGTGTTAAAAAATACTATTGGCCCACTATAATTCAGTGGTGGTTTGGTAGAGTGGAATCTCGCCCCATAATATATGTTCATTAATTCACGAATTAAAGTGAGCCTAAAAGAGCGGACGGAGCCACCTTATTTTAACCAAAAATTCCAAAAAATACTATGGTATAACCGCAAAGTATTATTTCAGCCTTCAAGAAATCTAAAAAAAAAAAAAAAAGATTAAAAGCATTAGATTATCAAATGAAAAATAAAACAATATTGCCTAAATCATGGAGCTAGGCAACGCTCTAAATAGAATTCCCAAATGTTTTGTGCAAATGCTCAATACCAAAATATGGAATAAGATTCCTGTGTGAAGCTAAAAGGCGTTATTGTCCAATAGCTGAAGTGTGGATACATTAATAATTTAAATTTTATATAAATGAACAAGGAACATTGGTCCTACAATAATAATTAGGTGGCAACCGAGAAGACTTATGCCCACACCTGAGGATTAGCTGAGAAAACTTAAATTCCGCAGGACATATGCGCCTTTTCTTCAAACTTTGCACTATCGTACAATGCCCGTTAATGTATTATCAGCACACAATAATGTAGATCCTTCCACAACAGGCGGGAGTATGAAATGGGGATGAACACGAAAAAACAGTAAAAAATGGGGTTTTAATAAGTTAGGATCAGGCATCATTGGAGTAGACATTTAGATAGTCTTTACTAAAGGTATATATTTGAAAATTAACCAATTTGTCCAATAGATACCGATGTATATCATGTTTAGGAAGTCTTAAGTGAGGGTATGACTTATAGGATCGCATCCTGATCCACAAAACTAATATTCAAATGCGAGGTTGAGAAAAATGATGTATGGTAAATCATGTTCTGATCGTACTTTGCACTAAATTTATGAAGTTGATCTTTTAGCTTCTACAGATTAATAAAATAGTTTATATAAAATCGCATCTACGATTGGAGTTTTATTCTTAGCTAATTGTAACTAATAATGATTATCATCTCAATAATTTAGATAACCTATAAAATATCTGAACTGTTTATATGATGTTTTATTTGGATACATGCAATAAAGGCATAGAGGTTATTTTTAATCCATAACTGAAATGGGTTACCTCTTTTCAAACACTCTAGCATCCGACAATGATAAAGCGAGATACATTACAAAAATATATCATACTTTTTTTGGTACAGCTACGATAGCTTCTCCTTAGGTTCCTAAATAAATGTTTTTAACATTATGTCCGATATAATTTTCTTCTTACTCCTTACTGCCGGTAAAAAAATAACTGTAATTCATGTTCCAAAAACTTATGAAATTAAAAATGTATTAATTAGAATATTAGTCTGATCCTTTTATCCATTATATATAGAGGAGAGTGGAGCAATTCTTTAATTGTGTAATATATTTGTTTTTCTAATTTTTCGATGCGACACTATATTATAAGTATAGTATATTTTAATGATTTTAATTTATATTTTTTTTTTTTTTTTAAATTTTTTATACCTCCCAGTATATATCTGTTCTTCTTACGAGCGTCTATGTTTGTCATTAGATATAGTTCTAAATTCTACTTAATGAACTCTTTTTCTAGAGAATTTAACATCATCCAAGAAGTATATTAGCCCAAAGTGTTGTGGGACCCATTCACTAAAAGGTAGGCATTTTTACCCAAAAAAACAAAAAACTGAATAACTAATTCAAGTGCGAAAAAGTTATAAAAAAGGCTTTTAGGATGTCTTTAATAAAGTAGGTAGATGAGTATAAAAGTATGCTTAACAAAATATAAGCTATTATCAAGGTGATACAAATAACACTATTAAAGTAGTTTTGTCACTTCCCAGATTGAGCATCTCACAAATATTTTTTTTTGTTACTAAAACAAAAAAAAAGTCAATACAATATTAAAATTAGAATTATACACTTCCATTAAGCGAGGCATGACATCATCAGGAGTCTACAAAGATAAAGTAGATATAAATAGCGAATATTCATTACTATTTGGCAATTTTAGGATTATGAAATGCATGAAACAGCGTTAAAATATGCCTCCCCAAATAACTTCAGTTTGTCTTCTATTTATATAAGTAAGTTAGTTTCTGAGATTTATATATTATTATTAATTTTTTTTTCATGACTGACAAAATCAATAGAAAATAAGAAATTATATCATCCTAATATTATAATTTTCATCATAGGAATAATTATGTTGTTAGTATTATACAGGGGTTTTTAGTTATATTATAGATATTACATTATGAACACTCGGTATATAAGTTAGTAGATATATTAATATCAATGAAATGAAAATGAATAATCACCGCTATAATTATTGTATTATTTTCAATTTACCTATACTCATTAATAACAAATTTTGGTTACGATGAAGATGGATTTGCATAGGTTGAGATTGTCTTTCAGCTGAATTTTTCAAGTTATGAAAAAAAAAAAAAAAAACTAAAAAAAAAGGTATTGGTTCATTTTGATAGAATTCATAGTAAAAAAAAAAAAAAAAAAAAAAAGTGTATTTTGATAATCATATGCCATTCCCAATTGCAAGACAAATCTAATAAGGTCATCATGAGTTTTTCTGACTTATTTTTCTTGCAGTCACTTCACCATCTTGGCAAAAAAAAATGGTCAAATTGCAAATTCCGTGCTTCTCATAAAACAGAAGTTGCTTTCCATCAAATCTGGGGCTAAGTATTTCAATTGTTGGTATAATTCGGCCTATTACAATGTTTCATGAGCAAATTACTCTTCATTCTGTAATCTTTATCCCTAAATTCCAGCTGATATGCAATTTTTTTCCACCATGGTAGGCTCCATGCCTTAATTTATCATTCATCAACAAATACTGACAACAATTTTACATCTTTAATAACAAAAAATTCAAGATGATTCAAGCTCACAGTGAGTGAGTGAGAGAGAGAGCGAGATTCTACATTTCACTGTCACTTATGAAATCACATGTTCAACACACATGCACTTCATTTCAGTTATATATGTACATCTTCAATCTCAACTAAGATGAAATAGAAAACAATATACAAGGGAAAGAATCCTAAAATTCAAGTGGATTTTTTTTATCTTTTATGCATAGGCAATGTTATTTGGCAGAATTATATCACCTCTTTAAACGGTTGCAGCAGCATCCTTTAGCTATCATTAGTTGGCTCTCAACTTCTCTTCCAGACAGTCCACTCTTCAGGCTGTTTAAGGTGAAGGAACTTCATAACACCAGTACTAATAAGAAAACTGAATTTCTGAAAACTTGCCCTTTCTCAGCTAGCCAATCACTGTTTAGTCACTACTTAAGAAAACCAGGCACTCAATAATTTCTTACTTGTATCGAGCCTAACTTGGCCTCTTAATTCAAAACAATGAAGCATCCATCATTTGGTACGATTAGGTGCAGGAATAAGTTACATTCAACAGTTGGGTGCAGGAGTGTTGAGCTCACTATCTTTGGAATTTCTTTTCAAAATAAAAGCAGCAAATAAGATCAAAGAATCAGATTCCCATATAATTGATAAGATCAAAACAAGATCAATAAAATCAGTATCAGATGAGGATTAATTTGTGACCTTGCCAGATGACCCAATTTTATATGGGGCGACAAATCCATCTCCAAAGATCATGCATCAAAGCAAGGGAAAAGAATTAGATCAGATTTGAAAGTCACCCACTGCCTGTAAGTCCAGAACTAGATTATTATAAGGTGTAGTGTCAACACCGCATATACAGCTGGGCAGGACAGGGGGTTGGAGAACAAAGCAGTAGCTTTTCTTTCCCTGAATAAATAACTTGTAGTTCACCAGTGATGATTTTGCTCGTGATATGATAGAAGATGCTGGAACTGAAGATGCTTGAGATACAGATGACTATGATGGTTTTGGCAGTGATGCTACTGAGAGGATAGCATGGAATGATTCACCGTAAATTCAGGTTTATATAACTTTATGACCATGAATTTGCAGTGACATACTTAGGCATCTATACGAAGATACATTTTTCAGTACAACCGGGGAAAAAAAAAAAGATATTGCAAATATTCTCTGCTCGGCCACTTTTTCTTTTTTCTTAAAAAATTCAATGCAAGTTAAACCACCCATCCCCCCAAAAAGGAAGCCAACCAGTAATTCAACCCAGTTTAGTGTAGCCTTCAAATCCACATCCTATTAACTTCCTAAAGGGTTATTAAATGGACATATAACTTATGTCTGCTCCCACAATCTAAAGCCATTGCAGGACCTTTTTCTTACATTAAGTACACCTTCAAGCTAAAGCATATTATTCACTCTCATTGGAAACATGAATCCAGTTTGGACCATTTTAGTACAATTCCACCATTTTCCCCTTGTTTACCTGTCTTCCAGCTTCTTAAATACATTATGCATTAGATTAGCTTTCCACTATTTTGTCATCTTCTACCTTCCAACTGTAGTGTATGCAGAATTGCCACTGACAATTAAACACCATCAACAATTTACAAAACTCAAAATACATCCATTAAAGTACTTTGCAGATGAAAAGCCTAATCTAGTCAAATTTAATCAACATAGCAAAGTGGCAAAATTGTGGAAAAAACAGTAGCAATGAAACCAACCCTCACTAAAGCAGTTTGTTCTTTTTTTTTTTTTTTTTTTTTTTGTTCTTTTTTTTTTTTTTTTTTTTTTTCCTCACTAAAGCAGTTTGTTCTTTTTTTCTTTTTTTTTTTTTTTTTTCTGTTTCCTATCATGCTATATAAATTTTTTTTTTTTTTTTTTTTTTTTTTCTGTTTCCTCATCATGCTATATAAATATAAATTACAATTAGTAGTACTTTTGCCAATTTGTTTTCCCCTCTTGCTATTAGAAAATCCAATTATATATTAAAAAAAAATCATGCAGCGTACATATACATCATATACATACATTTATGCATATGCATCTTATAATCAATCAATTTTAAAGACTGAAAAAATATATACAGGAATCATCAAAGGGCAATTAGCCCCTCCAGCAGAACAACTCATGCAAAATATAATACCAATGGAGGTAAAAACACTTACCACAACTCCTTGTTGGGTGCTAATAAATTGAAGTTAAACATACAGTGTGCCTTTTCCAGCTAGAACTGTCAAAAACCCAAAAGGAGCTCATTATAACAAAGAATCTTTTGATATGCTTTTTCTCCTTTTAATAAGTCCCTCCATCAAATTAATGTAGGCAGATTTATTTAAAGTGATGCCCTTCTGTGATGATTCTTGAAAAATTTGCATTGCATCCTTGTATTTCCCTTGAGTGCACAGGTCATTAATCTGTTGTGAAAAAACGATTGAATTTGGATCAGATCCTTGAGGAGTCTCACAATTCACATTTTTCCCTTTATCCAAAGGTAAGTCTTGATCCTTCAACTGTCCCATTTCTGCAATTTTTGACATGAATTCCTCAGCCTCCTTAACCTTACCTGCATCAGCAAGTGCACCCAGAATTGCATTATAAGTATAGCAATCAGGCCCTAGCTTCTTTTCTTTCATTTCTTCAAGAAGATCAAAAGCCTCCTCAAATCTGCCTTGTTTGCAAAGATTTGATATTATTGTATTGTATGTAACTGCATCAATTTGTTTCCCTTTTGAAATCCATGTGTTAAAAAGCTTAAGAGCCTTTTCAAGCATACCTTCTCGACATAGCCCGCGAAGAAGGATGTTACAAGTAAACACATCCGGCTTAAAAGAATTTTCAACCATTTTATTGTGAAATTGAAATGCTTTGTCAACTTTGCCTTCATAACAGTATCCATGAATAATTGTATTATAGGTTGTTCCATCTGGGACCAAGCCACTTTCTAGAAGCTCATTCAACTTATCTATTGCTTGATCAGTTTGTCCTGATTGACATAATCCTTTGATCATAGAGTTATAGGTGATAATACTTGGGATGATCTCTTTCTCCTTCATCTCACACCAAAGCTTTAAAGCTTTAACTGAATTTTCCTCTTTAAAATATCCCATGATCAAAGTGCCATAGCTAACCTCGTCAATAAAATAGCCTCGCTTAGTAGAACTATTAAGCAACTCGTATGCTTCATCAAGTTTCTTTTCCCCACAAAGTGTATGAAGAATGGTATTAAGAGTCACACTATCCATCTTCAAACCTTTCCTCCCCATTTCATCCATGATCCTAAATGCTTCACCCAACTTCCCTGCTTTGCAATATCCATTTATCAAAGTATTATATGTAACACTATCAGGTGAAAAACCACTTTCTCCCAATTTCCTAATGGTTTTTGCAGCATCATCCATCTTTCCATCCTTTACGTACCACTTAACCAGTGTGTTGTGTGTAACTGAATTTGGCTTCACTCCCTTCTCCGCCATCTCTTGAATCAGCCCAAGTGCCCTTGAACTACTACCACACTCAAAGCACCCATTAATCAGTGTGTTGTAAGTAACAACATCAGGCAACAGCTTCAAATTGTCCATCTCGTCTCTTAACCTAAATGCCTCATCAATCCTACCTTCTTTGCATAATCCAGCAATCAACATATTATAAGTCCAAACATCGGGCAACACATTATTCTGCGACATTAATTCAATGACATGAGCTGCTTCCTTCAACCATCCCAATTTACAATACCCACAAACCAAAATATTAAAACCACAAACCAAAATATTAAAAGTATTCCTATTTGGCCTCAACCCCTTATTTTTCATATCTAACAATAAATCCCTAGCGTCATTCAACTTCCCTTTCTTACACAATAAATCCAAAATTGTGTTGTAACTAACGTTATCAGGCAAACAACCAAACTCCTCCATTTTACCTACAAGAGCAATTGCCTCCCCTAGCTTGTTCTCCATGCAACACCCATAAATAAGAATATTAAAAGTGTTGGTATTAACCTTAACACCAAGCTTAATTACATCATTGAAAATAGCTTTAGACAAATAAACAGAATGCTTAGAAGGATGCCTAACCAATGCATTAAGAAGAGTATTACAAGTGAGCAAGTTAGGCGTGAGACGCAACCTCTTCATCTTATTAAAAATCTGTGCAGCATGGTGGGGTCTGCCAGAGGCAACATAGGCCCCAATTGAGGTATCGAGGAGGGCTTTCATGGTGCGACGTTTCTCTACCACAGCCGGAGGGTGGAGGATGTGCTGGTGAAGAATGTTGGACTTGTCGGCGGCGATGAAGGAGGTGAGAAGGGATTTGGCATCGGAGAATTTGTGATGGGAGAGGAGAGGAGAAAGAAGGGAAAGGAGAGGAAGAGGAGAGTGAGAAATAGAGGGAGGTAGGTGAGACTGCGCCCATTTGAAGAAGGAGAGGAGAGCAGTAGGTCGATGAGACAGGGATTTGGAAGAAAGGAGGGAGATAAGAAGATTGGAGTTTGAAGAGAAATTGGAAATGTAGGGATTGAGTGTTTGAAGTGGGAATTTATCTGAAGTTAAGATTTTTGTTAGGGTTTGTAGAAGTTGTTGTTCTGATTGAGGGAATCTAGACATCTGGGGGTTTTGTTAGGGTTTAGAGTAGTGAGCTCCAAGTCCCAGTTGCAGGGAGATGGAGAATTTGAAAACGATGGCCAACGGTGTCGTTTCGATGTAGAATAGTATTTCCCTTCTTAAAATTCCAACCGCGTCGTTTCTGTACTTGGAGAGGAAGAGGATATGCTGCAGTTTTATTTTACAGCAGAATAAAAACTTTAGAGTAAAATAATAAAATTCTTCTATTCAGTTTTAATAGTATACACATATATATTGGGAATATTCAGTTTCAATGATATTGTGACTATTTAAAAGTAATACGTGGAAAAGCCTTCATTAATAAAATTTTTTGCATAATTTATAATATAATATAATATAATATATCACTGATAAAATCAAATTAATTTATATAACTTACAACAGTATTAACACATCATTTTACATAAATGAATTCTAAAATATAGAATTCATTTACCTATAAATTTTATACATAAATTTTTTATATTTGTTATGTATAATTGAAAATATGTAGTTCAATTAATTATGTTTGAAATAAATTCAAAATTAAAATTTTATTTGCTTTTATTTCTAAAACTATCCTTAATATAATAATTTTAAAAGGTTCACACTTGATAGCTTTGTCATTAAATTTTGAATTATTTAATTTTGTGAAATTTATTTAGAAATCTTATTTTTAGTTGAAGTTGATTTAAATATTTTCAATTCTATAGGATTAAATTTGTAGAACTGAAATCTTTTTTTTTTTTTCAAATACAAAAATTTAGATTTATAAGTGAATTCTACAAATTTTGCATTATAACTAAAAGGCACCGTTTTGAGCCTTAACCAAATTTAGGGTCTCTCACTCCCAAACTCATCCTTCTCTTCCTCCTCTATGTTGATTGAGATCCACATATTGTTAGTTATATGCCCTCAATTTAATTGGTTATATTTTGAATATAATATTTTATGTAATAAATATTTTATTATTAATAAAAGTCATTCATTTATCTTTTATATTCTATTGATTGAATATTGGTAAAAAATAAAGTCCAAGAGACAATACTGCACTGTAAAATAAATTATAGTGTGATTATAATTATGAGTTTTATATTTGCATTAAAGCAATATCTCTAAATGTTTTGGTCAATGTTCTCTTAGTTATTGGGCAATGATTAGAGTTGTTGAAACTAGTACATATTACTCTCTCCTTCTCAAAAAGATAATCCACTTTCTATTTTTACACAAATTAATAAAGTAGCAATTATTATAGTTAAAGGATAATTTTATTAACTTTTCTATTATGCCCATCTTAAATAACACATGAACAATATTATATTGAAATAATAAGTAAGAATTAATGAGGATTATTGAAAATAAAATAAAATTTAATAAGGGTATAGTAGACAATTTAAGGATTAACTATAATGAAAATAAAATAAAATTAATAAGGGGTTATAGTAGACAATTTAATAAAATTTAATAAGGGTATAGTAGACAATTTAAGGATTAACTATAATGCAAAAAAATAAAGTGGACTATATTTTAGGACAAACCAAAAAGAAAAGATGGACTATCTTTTTAGGATGGAGGAAGTAGTTATTTCCTTAGAGAAACAACTATTCTTGTAAGCTGAGATATATATGACATCTAGAATTAATATATAGATGCTTGTTATTTAAACAAGTCCATTAAATTGACCTGCATGAGAATTTCATATGGAAAGTTACCTATGTCTATTGAATACTCAAGTGATGGTTGTGTAAGTGATCTCTTCACTTAGAATTACTAAGCTACCTTGCATACAGATGATTATGTTTTGATTATTCTTCGTTCACATTATTCATTCATGAATAATAAGCAATGATTAAATTGGACATATAAGGAACTATATGGAGATACTCGTGTGATTAAGAGATGATTTATCACCCTAGGTAAATTAGGAAAAATGTTCTCATTGTTCTCTATTAGTGTTGATTAAGAAATTCTTGCGCAAAGTAGAATGAAATTAGCAAATCAAGATTTGAAATTTATTCAAATGATCAGTGGCTAAGATTAAGAGTACTAACATGATATAGTAAAGCAGACGCACTCCATGCCTAATTACTAAATCATAACATTAGTGATGAAGGGATATTGATTACATTGATAAATCATGCACAGAAAGGTTAAGTCAAACCACTTTAACTTTCCAAATATTTAGATAGTCATGACATGTTTCTAAGCAATGTATTTGACCTTCAAATATTAATTAATTAATTAATTTATTTATTTATATTGGTTGCCAACATGTTTGGAACCTAGAAGGTCACACACATAAGAACATTAAGAATGAATTATGAAGAAAGTGTAATTAATTAATTAATTTATTTATTTATATTGGTTGCCAACATGTTTGGAACCTAGAAGGTCACACACATAAGAATGAATATGAGAAAGTGAAAACGAGAAATCGAATTAAGTATAATTTGATTACAAATAAGTTTTGGGAAATTAAGGATAAAACTGAAATTTATATTTAATTACAATCTAAATTATTAAGTATTGACTTAATTGATTTATGTGTAAAATTTATTAAGTTAAATTTTAAATTAAATAAATCTAATATTTTAATTATGATTTATTTATTTAAAAGGTTTAAATAAATAATTATAAATAATTTATTTATGACCTAAGGTTTTTATAGATAAGGTTTAAGAGACAGTCTAACATACTTTTTAGAGTTTTTCGATTGTTCATTCATTTGGGACACTTGGACGACTTGTGGTTTGTGACAACCTAGCCTCATAAATCAAAATTTCGAAGAACCAACAAAAGAGGTATTTTTCTAAACAATTTTATTGCTTTAATCATTTAAACAAATTCCTATTGGAATAATTATTTCTTTCCGCTGCGCATTTTTCATATTGAAATCCAACACATATTTCCATCAAAATCTTCACTTGTTATGTATCCTTAACAAATTATCTTCCACGACAGCATCTCGTTATGCATGATGTCTAAATATTGACTCTGCTGCTTAGGAGCCACACGATCTACTTTATGGGCTACCTTAGGCCAGACTCTACTCTCATGAGCTGAAGACTGCAACGCTATGATTCTACAGGAAGGGGGCAGCATCTCCCATCAATGCTGGGGGTCGATGCGCCCTATGAGGGTATCTTAAATCAGGATGTCAACACCTAACCAGTGACCTGAGCCGACGGGATAGTGACTAATACACCTAGTAATCCCTTTTTTTTGTTCAAAAAAAAAAAAAAATAGTGCCTTGAACTTATACTGAATGCAGTTAATGTAAATTTCATAACATTTTTTGATTTTTTTGATAGTCGTCAACTAAAGGGCAATATTTTTTCAATTTTTGTTATAGCTATCGTATCATAAGATCGGGTAAAATGCGAATTCGATGAGTTTCAATAATAATTCATGAGGGAGATTATCATATTATAAAAAGACAATTGAGCATTTTTTATATATTTTCTTTAATATTTAGTTTTTTTTATAGTTGTTTTATTTTATAGTTGTATTCTATTATAGTTATATTATAAGTGAAGTTGTATTCTATTATAGTTGTATTATAAGTGAAGTTGTATTCTATTATATATTATATTATAAGTGAACCACTACCTTGATGGGTGTTGCAATGGCTCTATTTGCGAGCATTTTGGAATTCATTATTTTAGAATTAATTATAGAGCTTCCTCAAGGGATTTTTTTCCTATATTTTCTATTTTAGTAAAAATTTTTCAGTAAATAGTAGTATCGTGGATAGGGAACTATACTAGCAACCTTCCTAAATTTATTGTAGAAAAAAATTAATAAAAAACCATTTATAATAAATAATAAACATAAAATAAAAAATACTTAATTTCTTTTTTCAATATAATTACTTAAATTCTCAATATTATTATCACTATTGAAAAATCCAATGCTAAAAAATACACAAAAACTAATTAAAAAAATATTTAATTTTTTCTTGGTAATAAAAAAAATATTTGTTGATTACTTTGCTATATGAGGCAGTCTCATATACCACGAGTTAGGTTGCACGGACACAGGATATAAGAACGTATAGCTAGAAAATACGACAATAAACAATCATTTATAATAAATAATAAATATTCTCTCTGTCTCATTTTATTTACATGGTTTGACAGAACACGCATATTAAGAATTTAGTGGACAAAAGTTATTTTACCCTTTTTTATCCTTAATAACTCATTAAAATATTAATAAAAATCATTCGTTTAATGTACAATCATAAAGATTATCACAGAAAAGATAATTGTTTACATATACAAATTTAGAAATCTTACAAACATATTGCAACATCAAAGAAAGGAATAACAAGCAAATAAAATGGGATGGAAGGAATATAAAATAAAAAAATACTTAATTTCTTATTTCAATTATTACCTTGGTGTATGAGATAGTCTCATATACTAGGAGCTAGATTGTACGGACATGAGACATGAGGTACGAGAATGTACAGGATACGATAATAAATAAATAATCATTTATGGACATGGGACATGAGATACGAGAATGTACGAGATACGATAATAAATAAATAACCATTTATAATAAATAATAAACATAAAATAAGAATAATTAATTTCTTTTTTCAATATAGTTAGTTAAATTCTCAAATTTATTATCACTATTAAAATGTTATTGAAAAATACAATGTTAGAAAAGACACGGAAAAGAATTAAAAAAAGAACACTTAATATTTTCTAGGTAATAAAAAAATCTTGATTGATGACCTTGTTGTGTGGAGCAGTCTTATGTACTAGGAGTTAAGTTGTATAGACACGAGAGACGAGACACCGGATACTTGAACATATCGGATACGACAATAAATAATAATTTATAATAAATAATAAATATAAAATAATAAAAATACTTAATTTTCTATTTTAATGATTATCTTGGTGTATGGGTATTCTCATATACAAGAAAATGTGTTGCACGGACACGAGACGGGAGATACGAGAATGTACGAAATATGATAATAAATAAACATAAAAGAAAAAGTATTTAATTTCTTATTTCAATATAATTAGTTAAATTCTCAAAATTGTTATCGTTGAAAATACAATATTAGAAAAGACACAAAAGTGAATTAAAAAAAACACTTTATTTTTTCTTGATAATAAAAAAAAACCTTAGTTGATTACCTTGGTGTAGGATAGTCTCCTATAACACGAGCTAAGTTGCACGAACACGAGACACAAGATGCGAAAATGTACAGAATACGATAATATAATAAATAATAAATATTTAATTTCTTATTTCAATAATTATCTTGGTATATATATGGGGTAATCTCATATACCATGAGCTACGTTGTACGGATACAGAACATGAGATACGGGATTATATGGGATAAGATAATAAATAAACAATCATTTATAATAAATAATAAACATAAAATAAAAAAATTATTAATTTCTTATTTTAATATAATTAGTTAAATATTAATTTCTATTAAATAAATAATAAACATAAAATAAAAAAATTATTAATTTCTTATTTTAATATAATTAGTTAAATTCTCAAAATTATTATCACTACTGGAAAATAAAATGTTAGAAAAGACACAAAAATAAATTTAAAAAAAAAACTTAAATTTTTTTTGGTAATAAAAAAAAATTCTTGGTTGATTACCTTGATGCATTGGGTAGTCTCATGTACTGGGAGTTAAGTTACACGGACACGGGACACAAGATATAAGAACATATGAAATACGATAATAATAAATAATTATTTATAATAAATAAAAAATAAAAAATAAAAAATACGCAATTTCTTATTTCAATATAATTAGTTAAATTCTCAAATTTATTATCACTATTGAAAAATATGATGTTGAAAATGACAACAAAAATAAATTTAAAACAATACTTAATTTTTTCTTGGTAATAAAAAAGAAAACTTAGTTGATTACCTTCGCGTACATATGAGGTAGTCTCATGTAACAGGAGTTAGGTTACACAACGAGATATGGGATCATACGAGATACGATAATAAATAAACAATCATTTATAATAAATAACAAACATAAAATAGAAAAATACTTAATTTTTTATTCAATATAGGTAGTTAAATTCTAAAAATTATTATAACTGTTAAAAAGTAAAATGTTAGAAAAGACACAAAAACGAATTTAAAAAAAAAACACTTAATTTTTTCTTGGTAATAAAAAAAAAAAACTTGGTCGATTACCTTGATGCATAGGGTAGTCTGATATACCAAGAGTTAAGTTATACAGACACGGGACACGAAATACGAAAACGTACGATATACAATAAACGAATAATCATTTATAATAAATAATAAATATAAAATAAAAAATACTTAAATATATAAAATAAAACATACTTAATTTTATTTCAATATAATTAATTAAATTTTCAAAAATTATTATCCACCTATTGGAATACATTAATAAGGTTGTATGTGCATTTTTTTGATTACCAAGTCATACCATGCATTGCTTTTGCTCCTACAAATTGGTTGAAAGGTTTTTGTTAGGATCTTTTAAGAATAATAAATCTAACATTGCAAATTTTTCAGTATATCTCAATGTATGAGATACAATTAAACGAATAATCATTTATAATAAAATAATTAAATATAAAATAAAAAATACTTAATTTTCATTTCAATATAAATTAATTAAATTTTTAAAATTATTATCACTATTGGAAAATACATTATACTTGTATGTGCATTTTTTATTGCAAGTCATACCATGCATTGCTTTTGCTCCTTACATCAAGTCATACCATGCATGCTTTTGCTCTTACATATATTGGTGAAAGGTTTTGTAGGATCTTTAAGAAGATAAATCTTAACATTGCAACTTTTTCAGTATATCTCAATGTGATATAATTTTATAATGCATTTCACAGTCATTTTATTATATAATTTTGTTAATTTTGAATGATGTTATAAAAGATTATTTCATTATTTTATATTACTATGCGCATCGCGCTGATTCTAATACTTGTTATAATTAAAAATAGAATTGTAAATAAAAAATTACTTCCATATTAAGATAATTACCTCAAAAGATCGAAATATATTTCTATGCTAAGATAACACCTTTTTTGTTTCACTAATTTTATCATCTTATAACCACAAAATTGTTTAATAAATACAAAAAATTTGAATAAAAATAAATTTTAAATATTTTAAATATTAAACTATATTTACATGTGAAACGGTTATAGATTTAGAAATATAATATTTGAGACATGCAATTAACATAACTAAGAAATTATTTATTTATTTTTTATTAAATGAAAAGTAATTTTATTGTGTTATCAATCCAAAAAATTACAACAATTAGGATTTTTTTCATCATTAAAATATAGATAATATGAAAATAAAATATGTAATTGAAAGAATATATTTTATTAATTTAATTTTTATACCATGCTATAGAATTTATTTGGTAAAATTGAAATTAAGGTAAAATTGATAGAAAATAAAATGAAATTTGTAAAAGTCTACAAAAACTTAGGATATTCTGACATTATTATTAGGCCTCACATCGTTAAAAAATAAATAAATTTATCATTTCTAATATTTCATTTTATTTTTTTTTCCAAGATTCCAAAGTTTAAGAGAATAGTCTCATTTACCTTTCAAAAAAAAAAAAAAAAAAAAATTCCAAAAAAAAAAAAAAAAGAGAATAGTTCGTTTAAGAGCAAAAAGAAAAATTTTCTTTTAAGTGTTATGGGTTTGAAATGCAGTAAATAAGAGCATGCCAAACAATTCTGGCTTTTTGAAAACGAGCACGAAAATAAATATGAAAAGCCAAAAATTTAATTTTAAAACGAAGAAAATATGGAAAAACAATTTTTTCAAAACCAAAACGGACATGTAGGTGTGTATATGTCGTTTCCATGTCGCTTTAAGAATGCCAAAAAAAGCAAATCCAGCCTTCGTATCGTTCATGGCCAGGCCGACCTCGAGTTTAAACGATAAAAACGGTGCGTTTTTCCACTACCTGATAAAATAATAATGGGCTACTGACTATGTCATCAGATATGGTTCATCTATGTTTTCGTATTTTTTGGTAAGACATGAGAATCAGAAAACGTTTACCAAATTATCACTATATATCAGTTAGATGTTAGTGATCAGAAACCAAATACACACAAACATATTCTTTTCTTCTCAGTGGCAGTTACAACAAATAATGGAAAAATCTCCGGCCCGAGCAATCCAAGGCGCCGCCGGTGAAGTTGGAAGGTGAAAGGCAATCGAAGGGACACCGGAGAACTTCAAAGAATACGCGTTCAATTGATAGAGCCATCCCCAGACGGCGAAGAGTACCGCGTCCTCAAGATGCTCAATGAAATCTTAGCCAAGGAATTCCAAGGTAAATAAATGATAAAATTTATTTTGATAGAAGTTTTTAATTGAAGAATTGAAATTGTTATTGTTTTATAAAAAATAGGTTCTACACTATGATACTGGAGAAAACGGCCGCTAGGGCTTTGCGACCGATTACCCATCACGCAATGCGTTACGCAGTTGGCCTTGGGGTCGATTGGAGCGGCCAAGTTTGGTATTTGGGTGTGGCAAAAGGCCATCGGATATTGGGATGCCGAAGGAAATCAAAGAGAAACCAGAAAACGAAGGAATGGAAATTTGAGCAGTCACGTTGTGGGCATTATTATGGTTCCTCCTGCTGTGGATGAGGTGAAGGTTTTTAGGATTTCTAGGGCCTAAATTTGTTAAACTTGATGTTGGAACTTGGCATTGCAGGGGCCTCTTTTCAAAGGGATTCCATTGAATTTTCTTCAATTTGGAATTGACAGACACCAACGTAAGTTCTTTCTTTCCATTTACCTTTCTTCTTTTAGAAGCTTAATTATCAAATGTGTATGTTTGATTTTATTATCTTAGACCGAAGGCATTTAAGCCCCACTTCTAGGGTGAAATATTAAGGATATTTTGTGACATTTATGTATTTTGTATGGCAGGTAGTGGATCACACGTACACATGATCTTCAGGAGAAAAAATGGAGGTGTATCTTCCTCAATAGATGATTTAAATTGTATCAGTTTTCTCAAGTTTGCATGCTTAAGTTCTTGGTAATATTTCCAGATACCAGACTGATGTTATACAATAAAAGGCAAATAAAAATCTGGCATGCTTTGCTTTTCTGTCATCTTCTCTTAATTTCTTATTTGATGATGAATTCTCTAATGTCATTTAGAAGCGAAGTACTATTAGTGTTGTCGTACTGAAAAGTAAAACCAAATTGATTTATTTTTAGGGAAATAATTAATTCTTTCTGAGGATTGAGCCAAATTAAGCAAAATTATTTCCCTTTTACTGACAATATTAATTAAAGTTACTGGAGGTTTACCTCCGTCAATCCACTTGGTTCATTCGTTCTAAAATTTTCTCCACAATTTTCCTTAAAAAACTAAAAAAAAAGACTAAAAATACCCTGCACTTAAGGAGAAAAATAATTGAATTTGTTCCTGATAATTTGGATTAAACTAAGTCATCTTTGCAGTTTAACAATTATTAATTAAATGATTCCGATATTTGATTTCCGTTAAAACATTTTGGTCATTCCATCTTTTTCTCTTATATTTTCTATTAAAAACCTTTTAAAAAAAAAGGAATTACCTTGACATTAAGAAGAAAAAGACTAAACTAACCTAGATTATAATTTCCCATTTGTAGTGGGGAAAAACGAACAGGGGGTCATAGTATACATTGGACTATTTGATATTCACCCAAAAAATAAAAAATTTGATTTAACATTAATGTTTGCTCACTGTTTACTGTCTTGGATGAGCCACCAACAAAAATATAAACAAGAAAAATATACATCGAGTTAATTTCAATAAAAATATAGCATTTAATTTTAGATTATTCAATATTCAAGAGAGGCAAGTTAATTTATATATCTCATACAAACTACAAACTGATGAAATGAGAGGTAGGACCATAGGAATAGTTAGGCATGACCATGGACCGAAATTAGAAAACCGAACCGCGTTCAAATCGAAAACCAAACAGTGATCAATGGTTCCAAGATTTCCAAACCGTAACCGTAAATCGGCGGTTTAAGATTCGGTTGTTGGTTCCTTATGATTTGGGAAATTAAAATTGGCCACAATTCAGGTTTGAATCGTTAAAAAAAAAGACAAAAATATCTCACTTTTCACACAAATATTTTTAATTGTTAAATTTAATTTATTTTTTTCATTATTAATACAGTAATTTTAAACAATCATCTTAAAATTTTATTAATATAAATATAAAACTTATAAATTATAAGTGAAAAAGAGAAAAAAAATTATTCTCTTTAAATATTTTAATTTAAATGTTTTAACCCTTTATAATATATATTTTTTAAATATAAATTAAATAATACTTATTTGAAGACTTGTTTTGAATCTTTTTATACATTTTTCTCCCTTTATAATGGTAAAAAAAAAAAAAAAAAGGCAATTGAACCGTATTTTTTTTGGGAATAAAAAATTATATTATAATTTTTTTTACTCTTAATTTAATAGGAAGATGTTTTTGTCCCTTTTAAAACGACAAAAAAAAAGGATTAACTTGAAAGGTCGATATATTGTGGAATAAAAAATTTATATTATGATATTTTTTGTTAACTTGTTAAATAAATTTAAAAGGACATTTTTTTTTACGAAAATTTGAAGGATAATTTTATGATAAAAAATTTATATGTTAACTATAAATACATTAATAATCTTTTCCTTTTTTTTTCACAATATTCAATTCTTTTTCTCTAAACTCCATTGAATTTCTCTATACTTTCTTTTCTCCCAATATTAAATTAGCAGTATAAGTTCTGATTTTTGGAAACATGTCTTCAATTTAAATTTATAAAATTAAATACTCAGTAAAGAATTTTTAAATTTATGTTTTGGTGTAGTATATAATTTTTTAATAAATTTAAAAACTATTAATTTACTCTTTTAGTCTTTTTTAATTTAATACTATATTTGTTATTAATTTTCTTTATTTAAGCTAAAAAAATAAACGGTTTTAAAAAAAATTTATCTAAATTCCGGTTTCAAATCGGAATCAAAAACCGGAAACCAACAGTTTAAAACCATCTTTAAAAACCGTCTTAAAATTGATTCGATTCCGGTTTCCATCTTTTTGAAACCAAAACCGGCAGAATTGAAAACCATGTTCATTTGGACCAGGGAATAGTAAGAAATATTTTGAAAAAAAAAAAAAATCATCGTTATGCAGAATTCCAATTGTAAATTTGATAAGACATAACTGTCATTCCGTGTATAAAACAAATTAACCTAGCATTAGTTTAAGATTTTTTTCTCTTCAAGTGTAATGGAAATTTTAGTTTTTTTTTTTTTTTAAGGTTTTAACAGAAAATCTGAGAAATAAACAAAATGACCAAATGATTGATAGTGGTAAAACTCAAGATTATTAATTAATATTGCTAAACTATAGAAATGACTTTAGCTTTGATCAAATCTCAAGGATGAATTAATATTTCCATTCTTATGTGTCAGGGTATTCTTAGTCTTTTTTTTAAGATTTTTAACGGAAAAATCTAAAAAAATTGAATGAAAGACAAAAGTTTTTTACCAAGAGGTAAATCTCGAAGACCAATTAATTCATAATCGCCAAATATATAGAGATGAATTAATTAGGTTGATCAGACCTCAGGGGACGAATTAATTATTTTACCTTTATTTACGATTTAGGTATCTGGAAATTATATTCAAAGTGTTAGTTTTAACACTTAAAAAATTGGATTCTTTAGTATATTTAATTTTAAAAATTTTCCCCAACTACTCTCCCTTAGCAACAGTTGAAAGCCATTTTTGAATTGTTGCACACAACTCAAATTAATCCCTAGAGACAATGCAAGAATTACAATTTCCGAGTGCGACACTTTAGATCCACAAAAATCTGACAAAAAAAAAAAAAAAAAACAAATTTTATAGAACAAGAATTAAATAATAATAAAAAAGGTTAAAACAAATGCAAACCAATAAGCTACAAAACTCCAAAATGGAAAACAGATTACAAAACCAAAACAACTTCATTATAGATGATGAAACTAAAAAAGCGGCATAAAAGTTACTCTTAGTCATAAAACATAAGGAATGGAATGTAGCGTAAAAATAAAAGGAAAACATATTGAAAAATCCAATAATTTAGCTAAGGACGTTGCACATTAGTGTTACATGTTTATCTGGCTTGTGCAATTGCGTATGCATGTCATTTATAATATATTAGAAAATTGAAAATTCAATAGAAATAAATTTCATCTAAGAACAGTATCAAGAAGCTTAACATTGTTATTTTTGCCAATGTTTATCCAGAAATTTAATTTCTAATTACATAGATTTGCAGGCGTTACCATACTTTTCATGCAATAATTAAAAACTTGCAAAATACAAACCTTCGATGGTTAGTAGCTGATGGCCTTCTTCAGGGCTTACATTTTGCGTTACTGTGCATTTCTTGCTTCTTTTATAACCTTTTCAGATATCAACCCAAGTGAAGGCGCTATATTAACAATAATTGTATGTTTTACCCAGGACGAAAAATGAGGTTGTATTTTACAATAGAGGATTTTAATT